AACCCAAGAAATCGATGCAAATTGATTTTTTCCCTTGCCTGCTCGATGCATAGGCAAGGAACTGTCCGGATACTGCGAACCTCATCGCGACGGTGTTGGAGCAGATCGACAAAGGACAGTATGAAGCGCATCCAGTTGAGGCGCAGATGTTGAAGAGCACATGTGTAGCAAAGGCGCGGCTGTGACAGGCGTTTACAGCCCTGCCGACGTGGTAAGCGAAATGCTTCGAGCGTTTTCGTTACTGAATAGCAGGTCTTCCTTGCAAAACGAGGATAACCGTAAGCTGCTCAGAGGAACCAAAGAAGATCAACAAATAGCGCTGTGGTGTTGGTGATGGAAATTAGGATGAGAAGTCTTCCACTGAGGGCGTATCGTGTTTGATTTCAATGAAACCTACATGTTTACATAACGCTTGACAGTGTCGTGTTATCGAGATGAAACTCTACGGCACACATGTTTGGCTCGTCAGACGAATGTTGACCAGGATCAAAATCCTAGTTGTCGTCTATCGTTCCGGATATCAATTTGCAACCCACTTGAGGACATGTAAGCTCAACTACATATTATAAGTTACATATTTCCTTGGCATCAATTAACAGTAAAAATAGGAATCATATACATGAGACTCCAAAGAAATGAGCTCCTCTAAAACATGCTAACAACACTTGCGGCACATACTGATCCAATCGAAACCTCGGATGTATAGCCAAGCAAGCACCCATGAATGTAGAGTCTGTGCGTCCTAAAATCCCTCTTCGGGCTAGCCTGACAATGGCAGAATGCTCGTGCTGCACCAAAGTGTACGGAGTGAGGATACCCAACAACCACCACCTTATTCCCCAGCCGTTGGGTGGATCCTTTAGCCACCGAGACGTTTGCACGATTACCCCGATCAAGTACCAGTCAACACAACAGCAGATCTTCAACGTCAGAATTGCACCCGATGTTTCATCGCTCCTTTTCCATCGGCGGCCGTCAGTTTTTGCTGTTTGCTACTCCACCGAACTAGCTGTCCTCTCGTAGACCGCAATCCAGGAGATCGAAGGTGTTGGCTCTCGCAGTTCTCAGTTTTCAATTTGACTTGTTCTACTCAATACAAACACATCAAAAATGCCTCGGATTTCCAGCTTCACGCTTTTTTCAGCACTCGCCGTGGCCGCCTCGATCATCCCCACAGCTTCGGCCTTCCAGTCCGGTAGTGGTGGTCGCGTACTATGGGAAAACAACTGCGACTTCTACGGAAACGACTATCGCTCCATGAGGGCCATCCCGGACGTGTGCGGTGATGTCTGTGCCAGCGATTCAAAATGCACGCACTGGGCCTGGAATAACTACAACGGCGGTACTTGCTGGTTCAAGACGGGCTCTCGATCGGCCAAAACTGGCAAATGGGGCACGAACTGCGGCTACGTGGTATCTCGAAGCACCCAAGGTCAAAATCAAAACCAAGGCGAAGCACGGGGTCAGTCATCCAGCAGCGGTCTGTCTGCGTCCGAAATGGGCGAGATGCTGAGCCGGATCAACGCCTACCGCTCGCAGAATGGTCTACCTGGTCTCTCAATTGACAACCGATTGGTGAACGCTGCCGCTTTCCACTCTCAGGACCAGGCCAACAATTGCAAGATGCAGCACGCCGGCTCAAACGGCTCAAGGCTTGGTGACCGCATCAAGGCACAAGGTTACAACTTCAACATGGCTGCGGAGAACGTGGCTGCCGGTCAAAAGTCTGTGGAGGAAGTCATGAATTCGTGGTGGAACTCGCCAGGCCACCGTGCCAACCTCCTCAACAAGAACGTGGAGAATGTCGGGTTCGCAAAGGTGGTGAACAACGGTTGCAGCAACTATGCAACTTACTGGACACAGGACTTCGGCCGCCTCGGTTGAAGAGTGTGCGTATATATGTCCGTGTCCGTCTCGTGTCGTAATGGCTCAGTGGTAAGCCAAAGTGTCGTATTGAACGATCGATCGTGATCAATATTCAGTGTTAGGTGTAGTGCGTGAGTGAAGCGTAAATTGGTGTGGTGTTAGTAGTAGTGAGTATTCTCGTGATAAATTTAGTGGTGTCCGTATTCAGGCAAGCATTTTTGTTCGACATCTCCTTCATTGTTGATGTTAAATTCCATAAACTGAAGCAAGTCCCATAGGGCACGCCCCCTGACAGTCAGTCACAGGTAGCAGGAGATATCCTTGAAGAGGTTGCTTTAATACAAGGATGTCGTTGTGGGGCCATTACTACTAATAGTTGTTGAAGGTCATGTTTGAAGCAACAACATGGAGTCATTAAAGCCGGAGTTGATGTTTTTGGAACATGCTTACCATTTAACAGGCCAACAGGAGTTAAAATAATTTTACTAGGACGTTGGGTCCGATCTCGCTTGGATAAAGCACGACGGGCGTAATAGAACCCTCAAGTGGATCGAGCTGTTTTGTTGAACTTGTCGAATACCTAAATCCTTATGAACAAGCTACTGGTGTATTAAAGTACTGCATATTATTATGATAAATATCACCAAGCAACCGTCTGTACGATGTCGACAGCGCAGCGCCAGAAAACATTGCTCTCTATTGTCACCAAATGCTGGGTTTTTATAGCATGGGGACTTGTCTGCCCATTGAGCACGGGCAGCGTACGGACGATATAGGTCGCATGTTAAAACCTTATGCTCGATCTGTGTAAAGTTCCTTTAGCTATCGAATATTAATAAGTGTTCATAGATACAATCGAGACAGCCACCACCAAGCAGCAGGGCCAACATGCGGACGTCAACCGATGTTTCAAGAGGAGACGGATGCCATCGGCTTCATCGAACTGTCCGAATGGATGCGAGTTGGCTGCAGTCCTGTAGAGAGCACAAACCTTTGGCCACAGTACTCATTTCTCATTTTACCTTCTTCCAGTCATATCCATAAAATGCCTCGCCTCAGTAGTATCGCACTTATTGCAGCGTCCGCCGTCGCCGTCTCGGTTGTGCCAGTCACAATAGCCTTCCAGCTAGGTAGTGGAGGCCGCGTGATGTGGGAAAACAACTGCAATTTCAGCGGAAATGATTACCGCTGGATGACGGCTATCCCGGCTGTGTGTGGTGATGTCTGTGCCAGCGACTCAAAATGCACGCACTGGACCTGGAACAACAGCAACGGCGGTACTTGCTGGTTCAAGACGGGCTCTCGGTCGGCCAAAACTGCCAAGTGGGGCACGAATTGCGGCTACGTGGTGTCTCGCAACTCTGTCGTGCAAGTCCAAGCCCAGACTCAGACCCAGGCTCAAGCACCAGCTCAGATTCAAACACAAGTTAGTTCCAGTAGCGGGCTCTCCTCCGCCGAGATGAGTGAGATGCTTAGCCGGATCAACGCTTATCGTGCTCTGAATGGTCTTGGTGCGCTCACTATTGACAACCGGTTAATTGCTGCGGCCATGCTGCACTCGAAGGATCAAGCTAACCATTGCACCATGACACACACGGGCTCGAATGGCTCAAAACTGGGCGACCGCATTAAGGCGCAAAGCTACAGCTTCGCAATGGTGGCGGAGAACGTGGCCGCCGGTCAGAATACCGTAGAGTCCGTGATGACCGCGTGGTGGAATTCGCCCGGTCACCGTGCCAACCTGCTTAACAAGGACGCGCAGAACGTCGGCTTTGCCAAGGTCGTGAACAACGCCTGCGACAGCTACGATATCTACTGGACGCAGGACTTCGGTCGCCTCGGATAAGGCTCAGTGGAAAGCCAATCAGTGTTTCAGCGTAGTGAGTAAAGTAGCGTTCTAAACGTAGTGCGTACCAACCCGTAATTAATGTCAAGCTAGTCAATAGAACGATGTTCGTCCTCTTCGTATTGCCGGTTGTTCGGGTACAACAAGGATGCTGTCGCTAGTAGAGTTATAATGCTGTAAGTAGAAGACGACAGCCAGAATCAGCAAACGTACGAGCCGAAGTCGCTTTGCTAGCGATATTACGCCGGATTATTTGCGTACTAAACGATGGAGCGGTTCCATCCACAACAATCTTCCATCGCTGCAACTACTAGCACACGCAGCAGTAGCGTAGATACGGATATGAATGCTGGTGGATAGCTACCTGACGTATTTGTTGTCGCCTTTAGCATTGTGCATTCATCTTTATTTTTTTTGGGCGATCACGCATTGATTCGCCAGATGATCGCTAAAGATCGAGATGACGAAGATGACATGTGGCTTCAACAGCCGGTTCAACTCAATGACTGGAATGGGAGCACGACGGACGACGGTGGCCGGTCTCCTTTAACATGGCAGGTTACGACTCATTTGATCTAGCACAGTAGAAGGTGTCGGTAAAGCGCAGTGGCGGATTGAGCCGGAGCATTCTCTGGGTGAGTTGTAAAAGTAGTGCCCTCGTCGGCAACTGAACCGGATCGAATAGCACAATGACTCTCGAGTTTGTTCTGTGTTTATGACAGCGAATGCCGAGCGATATCGTACGCTATCTACGTGGACTGCAGCTGTGTACTCCACTGTTCTGTATTTCGGTGGATCAACCGGCAGTTGACAACTTCAACTTGTTGCATACAAAAGTTCAAATATACGCGTTCAGAACATTTTCCGGTTTCGGTATCCGTACGTTCCAAGCTGCCTTTCCAAACCAAGATTCCAGCGTCATGTAGAGTCTGGACTCCGAACCATCAGCAGGTTGTCAGATCCGCTGTATCGCCACTACACGGTCTGTCAGCGCTTCCGCAGAATTACTCGAATTGACGGGGCCTCAACAATATCGGCGGCGTTCACTCCTCGATCTGGCACATGCAGCGTCAACTGGTCGCCAGCTGTTCATCCGCCTAGCCGAGCTCTACAACGTTGCATGGAGCCCCGCCTTTGGCAAGGCTTTGACGCTCGGCTTCCCGGCCTCAACACGGGATCGGAGATTGTGCGGAGTGATCGAGTGGATGGGCCTCCGCGCTCTCTCTCACTTTCCAATTCGTCGGGCACCAAGCAGTTCTCCTCGAAAACCTTGCAAGAATGTTCAACTCAAAAGTGTTCGCGCTGTCTGCTGCTGCAGTGGCAATGGCTGCGGGGTCTTCCTCTGCCTTCCAGATCGGCAGTCAAGGCCGCGTCATGTGGAAGAACAACTGCGACTACTTAGGCAGCGACTTATATTCCGTCCCCGGCATCCCCGACGTCTGCGGAGACATATGCGCCGACGACTCGAAGTGTACTCACTGGAGCTGGACATACTTCAACGGCGGCACCTGTTGGCTCAAGAACGGCAAGACGGCCACCACCTCGACATACTGGGGCGGAGGCTGCGGGTACGTCATTGACCGCTTCACGCGCTCCAAATCGGACTCGGCCAACCAAAACGCAGAGCAAAATGCAGACCAGAATGCAGACCAAAATGCTGAGCAGAACGCCGACCAGAATGCAGACCAAAACGCCGACCAGAATGCCGACCAGGCATCGCAAACTGGTCAGGCTTCCCAAGCTTCTGGATCTACGTCTTACGACAACGGACTGACGAGTGCCGAGACGTCGGAAATGCTTGCCTCCATCAACTCGTACCGTGCTCAGTATGGACTTGCCGCTTTGACCATCGACGCTCGACTCGTGGCTGCTGCCTACGTCCACTCGAAGGACCAGGCAGCGCAGTGCACCATGGCACACGAGGGATCGGACGGCTCAGATCCTTGGGACCGAATGGAAGACCAGGGATACGAATGGACAGTTGCAGCTGAGAACGTCGCTGCCGGCCAGACCAGCGTCGAGGCCGTCATGACGTCTTGGTGGAATTCTGCAGGCCACCGAGCCAACATCCTTAAGGACGATGTGACCAACGTCGGCTTCGCTTTGGCTTCCAACAGCGCCTGTAGTGAGTACGCGACGTACTGGACGCAGGACTTCGGCGCTCAGTAAGCTGCAATCGACTGGAATGAGCTTCAATTGTCCTGTGTCACCTGCTGTGCGTCTGTGTCGTGTTTTGCTGTTATCTGTTCGCTGTGAAAAGTCCCAGTTTTGTTGAGAAGAAGTCCAATGTTTGTCAGTCTTGTAGTCATGTAACGAAGTAATCGAGTCACGAGCGAAGTGGCAAAAATGTTAATGCGTTTAAGAAGCGTAGTGTTACCACGACACCTCTCTGTCACGATATATACATGCGCAGCGTCCGCCGTGTAGCGAGAGCGCTACACCATTGGGTTTGCTGCTCGTTTGCTAGCCTACGCCGCGCTGCAGATCTCCGTAGAGCCGTACGCAGTGGAGTGATCCTTCTCAGTGTGCTGCACGGGTGCGCACTTCTCACAGCAGAAGCACACCGTCGCTGCTCTTGATAGCCGTGCGCTATACTGCATGAGCGGAATGCCAATACCCAGCAGCAGGACTGTCGCGAGCAAGAACACTAGCATTCCTACAGCCCCATCAAAGTTGTCGCCCAAGCTCCCGCGCCAGATCGCACCTACCGGTAGCGAGAAGGCAACTGAAAGCACCAGACTGCTCAGCAGCCCGATCAGTGTCTTTACAGACATGAAGTACAGCGTCGCACGCATTGCTGGCCGCGAAACCTTGTTCAGATCTGGTACCAACCGCTCGACACTCGTCTCACCGCATGCTCGTGCGCTGGCATGTGAACCTCGCTGCAGTTTCTTCGTTGAGATGTGCTCCTCTGGTAGTGAGACGAAGTTGGTAAGCCGCACATCCAGTTCAGCCAGCACTGCCACTAGACAGAGCACGAGGCGGAAGAATACGAGGCCGACACAGCACAGCGGCGTCAATAGGATGGAGAGCAGCATACCTCCGACGACAACAGTAAAGGCCGTCACACCCAGCATCAAGGTAACCAAGTGGAAGACCACAAGCTTCAGTGTGAAGCGCAGTAGTGTGAGCGCATGTCCTTCAGTACCCTCGTCGTCCAGTGGAGGACACTGGTGCAACGGAGGTAGATTAGGATCGACGTAAACCTGGCGCGTCTGAGGCTTGTGCTTCTTGTGCAAGTTTGCTGTAGCTGCAGCAGCAGAAGAGCTCTTGGAAGGTGAGGCGAAGCTCACTTGGGCGTCCTTGGACATTGGCATGACTGCTGACTAGCAAGAAGCAAGTTGGAAAGTTGAAAGGCAAGGGGGATGAGCGAAAATTTATGAGATACTCCGTACAGTAAACATTCTCAAACGTAAGCAAGAAGAAAACAACTAACCTTCAGTATTTTATAATATTTTATAACATGGGTAAAATCAATGCTACGTAAAAACCTCCTTTGTCAAATTAATTGTGTAATTCGATGTTATTATGATGAACTAAATTCAAGTTTTGACTGTCAAAAGAGTGCCATTTTCCTCATTTGAATGACGGTTTTTTGTTGAACTTGTCAACCTTCAGTGTCACTTGCTGTTATGGAAAGGCATGGCAAAAATTCTGGTGCTCTATCGCTCGAGACCAGATCGATTTCATTTCTTGTGCGTAGTCTAAAGTTCTGTCTTGTATGGTGCAATTTCCCGCTGTAGGTCTTGGTCTCTGCTATCTCTTGACTTCATTCCTCGTCAAACTTGTTGCATGGGCTCTTTGGTGCCGTACGAGGGCATTGCCGAGTCCTCTGAGACGGACGGCACGTAATCGCGTGTGTAGATCGACGTGAAGACTTCACGGCACAGCAGGCGCGTGGTGATGCACGAGAGTCTCGCCACATGCGGCATTGCGACGAAGCCACCGATCAACAGAGCGGTAGCCACCACTAGAAAGGCCCAAAGGTTGAACCAGCCTTCACTGAAGTACTCGGCTCGAAAGACAGGTGACGTGAGAGCATGGACCGGCATGGAGAACGGAATGATCACCACCATAGCGCTGAGTACGCCGACACCCAGCTTGGCAGTACTGAAGTAGACCAATACGGCGAGTGATGGTCGCGCAAAGTACGTTCCATTCTCGCCATAGTGCGGAATCTGGCCGTATAACTTGTTCTCCGGAGGCTCTAAGAAGTTGTAAAGCGCCACGTCGAGACGCGCGAGCAGTGGCGCCAAGTACAGTAACCCTTGGAATACGACGACGCCCAAGCAGCATAGTGCCAGCGACCCGAGCGAGAACGCGATGCCGAACAGGATCACAATAAAACCTGTGGACGCGAGCAGATGGTTGAGTACCAGAAATACTAGCACGCGTGCGGCTTGGAGCACCACGGCCTTGGCGTCCGAGTCCGTCATGATGCTCGAGATGCTCAGTTGTGGAATGCGACAACTCGATGGCAGTCACAAATTGTGCTTTGATACCGTATTTTATATATCCTAAGACGCTTCATGAACGACTGGGGAGGCTTAGGATATGTGCCTCCGTACCATTATCGCGGCATCGCTGTCGGAATGGAGTGAATATCCACTGATAATGCTTCATCGTTTGCATATGAATGTATTACATACTACGGATATCGTTTGCTACGCGTTATTTACTGTGGCAAGTTCATCGAGGCTTTGTTACAGTTGTGTCCGGTTGGCGGGGATGTTGGAGCCGTACATGTTAGCAGAAGCTGCGGTCCCAGCGTACTGCACAATTGGAATAGTGTACTCTGATGGAGACACTCGTTCGCAGCAGAAGAAGTGCGTCAAGGCTCGTGAGAGCCACGCCACCACATGCATAGCCACAATAGTGAGAATGCAAAGGCAGCCCCAGAGGACGTAGAACGTGAGTGGGTATTGGCGCAGGTCCACCATCTTGTGGTGGTGAACTTTGATGAGCCAGTCGTTGTCGTCATTACCATAGGCAACGAGTAACATGGGCAGTGAAGCAAACACCGACACGACGACAAGGCTCACGATGCTCATGACAAACTTGACTGTCGAGAAGTAGAGCGCACCAAGCAGCGACACGGGCGAGAAATACGCCAACTCCGGGGAGAGGCGAAGACCCTCAAACCCGCCAAGTGGCTGGCCATGGTCGGTCGCGAGAACGCGTTCATCACTAGAAGAAGCGACGTAGTTGCTCAGCTTCACGTCCAGTTTGGCCAGCCACTGCACCAAGACCACAACGCCACGGAAAAGCAACAGACCCACGCAGCACAGCGGGATCAACCCGATAGCGACGTGCACACCAGTGATGACCGCAACGAAAGCGAAGATACCCAGAAGCGCGTTGAGTACGTGGAAGAGTCCGAGCCTCAATGTTGAAAGGATAAATCCTTGGCCGTTGCAACCACCACGTTCGTGGCAGTGGTGGTGATAGCTGTGGTGGTGGCAGTGACGCTCGTGAGACGGCTCACCATAGGAAGGAGGCACGTAGTAGACATTGCGAGGATCCGGCTGAGTGTACATCGGTGGGGCTGCCGATGTCAGTGGCCAACGCTCCGACTCGGTCGTTGTCAATGGAGGTGCATTGGCATTTGCATACGCCGCGCCGTGTCTGCGATCAACAGGAGCGTCGACGTCTGGGTATAAGTGTACGTTGTAGTTCGACGTCTCGACCATATTTGGTGTGATAGCTTCAGTTAAGCCGAAGATGGCAGGTTGAGGAGTGCTTGCACATGGCGAAAGCCTGAAGTTGCAAACATTCTGGTGTTTTTGGGAATGGTTGTGTTAAAAGTTGCCTTTTTTCTGGCCAAGAGGCGAAATCTACTCTGAAAACACTCGAAAATCTACTCTGAAAACACTCGAAAAAAACTTTCGGTTGTCCATGTAACGCTACAGTTAACATGCTGTGCTATCCCCTTGTTAAACTTGTTCCATAGGACGCAATACCGTTGTTCGGAAGTGACTGGAGTTGGTGCGGTGCAAACCTCGTCGTGGCGAACTTCTCGCAGCAGAAAAACCGCGTGGCTCCGAGCGAGATTTTGGCCACAAGTTGCATGAGTGCCACGCCGAGGAGCGTCACGCAGATAGCGCTTGCCAAGGAGAGTCCTGGGTACCGACTCATCGAGGTGGGGCCCACGCCGTAGATTTGGATTGAATCATAATACTCGCCTTGGTAGTGCGAGGTTAGTGACGTGATGAACGACACTGTCGGCGCAACGACCAGTAACACTGACAGGAAACTCAGAGCGCCGATCACAGGCTTCACTAGCACGAAATACAGCATCGCCATGAGGGATAATGGGGAGAAGAACGCCAAACTCGGAGAGATTCGGTATCCAGAAATGCCCTCCCTTCCAATAAATCTCCCAGGAGGTGGCAGAGTTGAGTACGCGTACTGATGCGCCGGAGTGATAAAATTTCCCAGCTTGATGTCCCATTGAGCCGTGGAGAACACAATGTACACGAGCACTTGGAAGATCAGCAGCCCCACGCAGCACATGGGGATCAGTGAGGCAGCCGTGCAGATACCCGCGGACAGGATTCCGCATGCCACGAGTGCGAAGACCACGTTCAACACGTGATACACACAAAGTTTGAGCGTTGCCATCACGAACCCCGGCGTCCTGCTGCTCCAACTCGGTTGATCATGTCTTCTTCCCCCGTATCTGTGCCTCTCATTGAGCTGCAGAGCTCCAGGTTCTTCCATCCAGAGCCTTTGATGGTTCCGCTGCTGATCCAGCGCTACCCACTGGCCACGAACAGACGTCGACTGCTGCGCTGGAGCTTGGAGGCCTTGATACGTTCCATACGACATGGGGTCGTAGTGCTCCTGACGCGCATGAGTATCACGAGGATACCATGAATACCTTTGCGGAGGCATGGAGGGATAACCCGGAAATGGCTGCTGTCGAGCCTGTTCCTGCTGATACGGAGGCATCCTCGCATTGTTCTGTTGAGTATGTGGAGGACGCTGCACGTCTCCATTTCGACCACACTCAGCGTTCTCCTTTCCCTCCTCTGCATAGCCAAACGGCGGTGCAGTCGCTGCATTGCGTGCAGCGGCCTCTTCATCGGGCGTCCAGGTCCCCGGATACCGCTGCCATGTCGCCATATTTGGGCTCTCGCTTCTGGCAAGCTGATTTTGTCTCGTTTTCAGCCAATCACATGTCGAATCGCATGTTGAAGTGGTTTGATAACCGTTGCGAGTGCATATTCGTCTATTATCTTCTTGGTGATCATGGATCTCCTGGTGGAGTTCATGCCCGACATGGGGGGGCGTCTTGGCCGCCCAGGAGAACGCGCTTACGTCTGTGATCTCCACATTAGTCTCTCAGCTGCAGCAATTAGCGGCGACGAACGAGCGTCAATTGCAGCGGATGGCTCAGCTCGAGTCCTCGCAACTCTCCATGCAACAAACGATCAAGGAGCTGCAGGAAGCTCCAGCACCAGCTCCTGTACTTGTCGAGTCTCCAGCTCCTGTGATTGTCGAAGTGCCGGTGTTTCAACCAGCGCCACCTGATACTTCGATGCTGGACGCTATGGCGACGTTGGCGACGAAGATGGAGCAACTACAGCAGAATGTGGAGCAACAAGTGGCGGAGCAGATGCAGCAAGTACTGGTGAGTCTACAGAGCTTCCAGATCCCTCAGCCGGTCGACGATGCTCCAGCATGGGCCTCGTTAGAGCTGAAATTCCGAGAATTGGACGAGAAGTTGAGCGTCCAGATTGGAGAACTACGCAGTGAGGCAACGGACAGTTTAGCGGAGAAGACGAAGCAAACGGAGGAAGCCGTGAAGAACCAGTTGGATCAACTTGAAAAGCGGTTCGATTACCTGTCGAGGGTGAAGATGGAGATCAAGGAGCTCACGCGACGAACCGATAAACACGAGAAGAGTATTGAGGACATCCGGATTGGACTCGAAGTGCTAGCGAAATCACTCGGAAGTGATGATGTTGACTCAGAAACCAGCGAAGACGAAGCTGCAGAGGAGCAGGAAGTATTGGAATCAGAAGAGGAACAGGAACCTCAACCTGTTGTCCGGAAAACTGCACTCCACTCTATCCCAGTGATTCGATCTAGCCAGAACCTCATCATTGAGGCTGAAGTCAAGCCAGAAGAACCTCAAATAGTGCAGCAAGAAGAGCCTCAACCGAATGCACAGACCAAAGAAGAGGAGGTTGTGCACCCTGACGTTCCAGAACCTCCTCAAGCAGAGGCACCCGCTAGTCACCCGCTACGCGCAAAGTCCATCGCTCAAATCTCAAGGCTTGTGAGACGTTCTCTACGACGATCTCTCCGCGCTATGGAGACTACCCCAGTACCGATTGAGCCTTCGATACCAGAACCAGTTATCGAGCAACCAATCGAGGAGCACGAGGCAGCCCCAGCAACGCCAATAGTTCAGTCTCCACGCCAGCAATCAGAAGGGGAGCGCACTACCGAGACTGTTGTTATTCCAGAACGCGAACCTGTCAGTGTTCCTACGACCCCCACCATTCCAGATATTAAAGAACATCAAGAAGTGACACCGGAGGAACCTGTGAAAGAAGAAGCAACTGTTGAGAACAATGAGAAGGAAGAAGTGCAAGAAGCTGTTCAAGAAGAAGAGTTACCGCAGCAGTATCGTTCCCAGTTAGCCACCCAGCAAAAAGTCATGGACGATCAGGTGGAGCTCTTCCGTGCTTCCTCCTCAAAAAACCTGCTGCGTCCTACCACCACTACACCCGTCGTACGTACACGACGTCAGCGCCGCTCGACGAATCCCCGTAAGGCGTCAGGCGTCCAACCTACCGACGTGCCAGTAACCCACGAGCCACCGACACTTCCCGCCCAGAGATCCGCCACTCCTCCATCGACTGCAATTGTTGAGCCACGTCCCCCTTTGACCAAGGCGAGAATCAAAGAGCTGTGGATGTGGTTACTCGGTAAACTCGTACGTTTACAGCGACTTCGTCAACTGAACGGCATCAACGCAGAGAAAGCGCTTTTCCGTCGACAGCAGATGTCCATGGGCTCTCGAGTTAAGCGCCTTGAAGAGAACACTGCTCGCTTGGATGAATCGCTCGAGTACCTGGAACGCCACGTACAGGACAACAGCTCTGCAATCAACGCACTGGACGGAAGCATCGCAGAGCTTCATCCCGTACTGGATCGAGTTCAGAAGATGGAACGCGGACAGAAAACGCAGGCACGAACGATCGTCGATGTGGAGGAAAAGCTGCAAGAGATCGACGTCGAAGTCCAGCGATTGCGGACTTCTGTGCTCCGGAATAACTCCGTATCAACGAATGTGACGAGTGCTGTGACCAATGCGATATCAGCGCAACTCCAGGACGTAACAGCGAAGTTTTCGCAACACACTTCAGCGTTCGAGGCCTCCGAGAAGCTGTTAACACAGGTCAGCGAGACGGAGATCCCTGCACTCCACGACAAGATCGAGCTCTCGCTGTATACCATTCGTCAAGAGGCTGAACAACGTACCAAAGAGGCTGCGCAAGAACTCCAGAAGATAGTCGAACAACTGCAGACTTCGCAACGCAAGTCGGATGGACGCTTGCTTGTGCGTATCACGGACTTCTGCAACCGCATCTATCATACTTTACTCGGAATGAGCGGCGCAATGCTGCAGTCTGTTGAGCTTGGCAAGAGCGAACAGTCCTCCAAGACTTCAACACGCAGTTCTCTCGATGTGGGTATTGACTTGCTGCACGGCATCTTCACTCACTTTATCACCAACTGCGAGACTATTTTACCACAAGATACTGGATCGGAGATCGAGTTCCTGATCGAAACGTCCAAGGATTTCCAGCAACAACTCGAGAAACTCAAGGGCCAAGCAGCGATAGCAAGAGCAGCAGCATTTGCACTTGAAATCAGCGGGAACAACGACACACACGGTAGTAATCCCGTGCAGAACTCGAGCTTTGACGACCACCTGGTGTTCATAACCACGACCAAGTTGAAAGAGCTGGAGGTCGCTCTGGTCACTCGAGAAACTCAGCGAGATGACAGCCAGATACCGGAATTGATGCTCTTCATGCAGGATGCAGTAGTCCAAGTGCGCTCAGTTCTCTTCTTGTTGCTGCTACACACCGACGCGATCAAGTCACGTCTTCAAGTGGAAGAGCTGCGATCCTCGCATAACCAAGTGCAGAATACAGTGGTGGAGCACGGTTTCGCTCTTGGCCATCTCGATTCGACCATTGCACTCGTCAAGATGATGAACACACGTCTCGACTCGTTCATGGAGCTGTCATTCGCTTACGCCAAGGAAGAAGACGTCAAGAAATCCATCGAGGAGCTCATGACTGCCAACAACGACATGCGCGATCTCCTTACAACCAGTCTGGAGGCGAATCGCAGCGAGACATTGGAGCGTGACGGACTGTTGGGTGAGGAGATGAACCAGCTCATTGCTCGAGTCAGCAAGAAGCTGGACAAGGACGAGCTGCTCTGGACCCAAGAAGTTCTCGAGCGACAAGTGCAGAATGTTGCCAACTCGTCACTGGATGAACACGATCTCATCGATATCCATCGAAGACTGCGACGTAAAGTGGACAAGAACCAACTCAAGGCGCTCATGCAAAGCCAAGCTGGACAGCTGGAGGCTGGATCTCGAAGCGTGGCCAACACCGCCGATGAAGGCCACAAGTCCGCACCTCTAGTAGGAGCCAAGTGCATCTCCTGCCAAGGCGAGTTGCCACCAACCAAAGCCATGATCAAGAGTGTCGTCCGTGACGAAGTACACCAGGAACTGGCCAAATCTCGAGCACAGAAAACGCCTCCTAGCACCTTCAACGCCTCCAATCACCGCAATCTCGAAACGTTCAAGAAAGAACTTCTGTTGGCGTCTCTGCAGAAGAAATGAAGAGAATGGAACCTACAACACAAACACAGTTGACGTCCATTGCCCGAATAAATAAAAAAAAACATATCGCTCCATCGCCTCTTTCCTCGCATCTAGAACACTCCAGCAGCCACCAAGATGGCTTGGAGAAGCTGCGACGCAATCTCCTTCACTAAGATCATGCTGTTCTCGTCTTGTGCCAGCGCATATACAATAGGGCGGAGGTTGTACTCCACAAGGAACTGGATAGGCGAAGTGTGCGACTCGAACAGGCTCTTGAGCATCTTGAGCAGGTTCTTGCGCACAATCGCCTTGGGAATGAGTCGCAGTCGCTTCAAGATCTCCGTCACGAACATACCGCTGCGTCCCAGAGCCTGGTTGAGTCGGACCGAGCGACTCATGATCTCCAGCAATGGCTCGAGTAAGTTCTCCAGTTCAGTGTCCAGAGCGTTGCGAAAGCAGACCATGATCTTCATCAGATTCTCCGGGACGAGCAGGACGTTCTCCATCTTCACCGTGTCGTGTGCCAGCCAGACGCTGATGGACTTGATCGCGTCGATCTGCCAGTACTTGTCCTCCAAGAGCTCCAGAAAGAGCGTCACACTGTCATAAGTCCACAGATGCGCTCGTGCTGTTGGTGACGCATGAGCCAGGTCGCACAGGATCGGGAGAGCGAATTGTTTGAGTGGACTCGAGTTCTTGACCACCTTGATAAGTGACGGAATGACGCCAGCTTGGGCTGCGTGGGTCTGTCTGTTACGGTTGATCCGACACAGGTAGAACATGGACTGCAGCACGATGTTTTCCACCTCTTTCCGCTTCACATCTGAGATCGACAAGCCTTCAGTCTCTTGCTCGTTCAGCAGCCGGACAAGTGTCGGGATGGCTCCAGTTCGGTCCAATTTCTCCAACGTCAAAGGCTCCATACTCAAATTCCGAATGCACTTGAGTAGCTTGAGCATCGCCGAGACGAATTCATCCGAATGGCGTATCAGTGGCAATGTCTGCTTACGTTTTGGCTGGTCTTCACCAATACTAAAGAGTGGCGCACCAGGATGAATCGCTTCTAATAGTCCTTCAAGCACAGCGCCGTCACACATGTGCTCTTTAACAACAGCATCACCTTGAGAAAACAGTACAAAGATATCACACGTTTTGTGGAGTTCCTTCATCGTCCACTGTGTTGACACATTCGTCTTGGTAGATTTCTTTGCACTCGGAGCATGGTTCTCCGGTCCACGCGTATCACTGGCTGATAATGACACGATAATCTCGGAAAATACGACCACAAACTTCTTCAAAAGCCCCGCTTTGACGAAAAGTCTGCAAATGTCGTTCTTCGGGATGGTCTGGATGCTGAAGACGCTGAAGATTCCATCCAGTGCGATGTGAAGGAGATCCACATCGCAGTCGAGATTAGATGGTTTGTCATCTAGAGTCAGGAAGTCCACCAACACTGGCAATCCGCCACATGCGATAAACATTTGCAGCGTCAGTGAACTGGTCTTGCAACACTGCCGCACAAACTTGGCTGCCTCCATCCGCACAGCGATCGAAAACTCGTTGTCTTCAGGGATTCCCATGCGGAATCCTCTGCCACTTCCACCCGGTAAGTAATACGGATTGTGCTGCTTCGTGAGCTTGATGATCACTGGCACTAGACCAACCAGCGCCAAGTTTTCTTGAAATTTCTTGTTACCTTCAACGATCTACAAGTAAACCAGTAGCAAAGGAGTAAGTTATAGTGACGCATAACATACATGACCACAACATTACTTACAATGTTGATGACTCGGAGTACGGCGTGCAGCACGTCCATCTTCTTCATTTCGAGAGCCTCCATGATGTTGGGAACCACTCCACCTTGCGACATTAAATCCCGCCTCAGCGTCACGTTCTGATCAAATAATTCCTCCTACACACAAAAAAACACATTTTTTTTAGTGTCATTTGGGCAGCATTCATACGAAATGGTCCAAGGGCTTAGCAACTCACCAATTTATTGCAGGCATCAAGGATGACTTGGTCTTCCATGCTTGGATCCAGCAACGACAGTAGCTGCACCACTCGTGCAGTTGCCTTTTGGTTCGTGTCACGCGCAGTTGAATAATCAAAGTCCAGCTCGTCGTCGAACAGGTTTTCTTGCGCACTCCCGCTGGGAGACGAGCCTGCATTACTCCCACGATTGCCAACACGCAACACCAGATTCCCTTGACCTTCTGCGAACTCGAAGCTGCCATCCATATCTTCGTCCTCTTTAAAGTCGTTCAGTGACATCTTGGCTGGGACAACAGTGGCAGGAATAGGCTCCGTCTCTAAAGCGCGCTGCTGCTTTGCAGCCGCCTGTAAAAGTTGATTCTCGTCAATATCGTCGAAAGCGAGGTCTTCTTCCGGATCTTCGACAAACTGCTGGAGCTTCGCTATGCGGCTTTGGGCAGGAATAAGCGACGATCGATCCCACGAGTTCATCGTAGGCTTGTCACTCTTGCTCTGGTTCGTATCAACACAACTACTGTCCTCACTTACATCCACTATCTCCGATAATACCACTGTTTCAGGCTCTTCATCGCCCCACACATTGTCATCAAACAGAGCGTTGGCATCTTCTTTGGATAGTTGAAACTTCGGCTTTGTCGGTGCAGTATCCGCTGTTGTTTTGCTGTCGTTGCTGCCTCCATCCTCTCTCAATATGAACGGCGTGGGGTTGGAATCCACTCCGAACTCGTCGTCCCAGTCCTCGACATCTTCGTCAGACTGTTCATTCGTGACACTAAGCGAGCGTGAGGCTTTGGCTGCTGTCGGTGGTATGTCTGTCGTGGACGAGCTTTTCTCGTATAGTTTAATTGTATTCAGGACGGCGTCGCGATCATTCGAAGACGTGACGCTCTCTGATACAAGCTGCGTACTTTGCTCGACCTTGTTCTTCGGGATCTGTGCGATCCATGGATGTGCCAGAAGCTCCTCGGCCGATGCTCGCAGTCGAGGCTCCTTCATGAAGCATTTCATGATGAAATCGTGCAAGGCCTGTAACGACACAACAACCCGTTTAATCGGATACACACACTATACAAGATAATTATTTGCAACAATTGTACCGGTGACATGCGCTGTGGTAGCGGTGGATGGTCTTCTTGTACGATACGGAACAGTGCAGCCATAGGCGCCAGGTCAAAATACGGTGGCTTGGTCATCAACAACTCGATGATGGTGCATCCCACACTCCAGATATCCGACGCTGAAGACCATCCTGACATCTCAATAACCTCCGGCGCCACTGTCATACAACAACCCATTAGAAAAACTCAAAAACTCTATCTACGTAGGGAAAGAACGTACTCCAGTACGGCGATCCCACGACGGAGTTGGCCTTCTGCGTCTCGTTCAATTTGATAGCCACACCGAAGTCTGCAAGTTTCACTAGTCCGTCTTTGGTCGTAAGGATGTTTGCCCCTTTGACGTCTCGATGCAGCACACCTTGTTCGTGTAGATACGCCAGTCCTCTTAGCACCTGGGTGATGTACATGGCCACGAGCGTCTCTGATAGAGATCCGAACTTCTTGATAAATTGTGCCAATGAGCCGTTCTCCATGTACTCCAGCACAATGTATAGATATCCCTGCGTCTTGATAGTGTCGTGGTACTTGACGATGTTCTCGTGGTTCAGTTTTCGCAGCAGACTGATTTCCGTCTAGCACAGCAGCGTAACGCGTTAAATAAGCAATCAGATCCTCAAAATTAATATCTCGTTATCCTGTACCTCTATGGATAACAGCTCATCCTTGTCAATATCCCGAAGCGACACTTGTTTAATGGCAACAGAGCGTCCATTGCGCAGATCCAGCGCCCCGTACACGATACCGAAGCCTCCGCGTCCGATCTCAGCTCCCAATTGCTAGTTAACATCGTCACACATAGGATAAAAAATTAGAGAGAGCTTTGATAAAATTGTAGAATCACAACATTATCGACTTACATAATGGGTACCAACTAGTCGCACTTGCTCCAGATCCGCCTTCTTGCCTCCGCGACTGGATGCCAGGCTGCTGCGCGAGCTGCTGGGACGCGTCGACGCTTGGCTGCTACGCAAGGACGGCCCGGCACTACGTCCGCCGCCGCTGGTCCCGGGGCTGCCGCTCGTGCGCACGTGGAGACCGCTGCTGCTGCTCATGGGGAGCACATCGTCAAATTGTGTACAATTGTGTACGAGACAATCAATTTTGGGATCTCCTATCAATTTTGACGGTACGAATCGGTATTTGGATCGGTATTAAAAGAAATGTAGCCATGAAGCAAATGCTCAAAAATAGGATGGAAAGTTGCCTTTTTGTGTCTATTGGATACGCTAATCAGTCACCAACCTGCACTGGTGGTCGGTCTCACGATAGTGTCGTGTCCAGGCAGATCGGAGAGAGACAATACTTGACTATTGTCGTAGAAAGTGACGCTACCCTCGAGTTCATCTTGTGGCATGTAGATGTTGTTTGCTTCAGCCTCAATCACCTCAACATCGTCTGTGAACAGTAGTGATTGTGTCATATTGACGGCATTGGCAGCAGCCTCTGCTTGATCGTGCCACTTCTTGCGCAGTCGTCGGTTCTCCAGCGATGAATGAGTGAAAGGGTCCATTGCCTCGTCGGAAGCGCCGTTCACAGTCGGCAGACTCAGTGGTGGTGCTTGCTTCAGGATCCCGTGGTAGATCAGCACATCGTCTAGAAACACCTCAAACTCGCGCACACCACGGGCAGGCGTCTTGCTGTAGTTCCACAATCGGATTTTGGAGATAGTCACAGGCTCATTAAAGAAGATCACGAGCTTGTTGGGGTGCGACGGCGTGTGTGGAGCTAGCCACATGTGTCGGTCGTCGTAAGTGTTATTGACACCATCATAGAGTTTGTCCAATGTTCGTACGTCGTGAGTGGCTCCTGGTTCTTTCAGGATGTTAATATCACGCGGTTGGGCGTCGATGATCTCTGCGCTGAGAGGAATGAGCTGGTTGTCTCGGTCGAATAACTCCACGCCATTGAGCCCTAAGTAGAAAGTGTCTCCCCAGGTAGATGAGAACACGAATTTGATGATATATCCAGTGGGGAACAGAGGTGTCTGGTACTGCTGGAAGACTTCTGCGATGGGGTTCATAGCGTTCTTCTTCCGTATTGCTCGCGTTTGCTGTGATACAGAAGACTGCGATAGTGAAGTGCCCGAGTTGCAGAACGTTGTTCCCTCGTTCGATGTGTCACCGTCTTGGGTGGTTCTGCCCTCCACAGGTGACGATGGTCTCGTGTTTTCTGTTTCTTCCACTGTGGAGCTCAGTGTGTTGTCTTCCTTACTAAGCGGCTCAAATGGTAATGCTTGAGATGCAGCACTACCAGGTTGATGGTTGCTGCGCAGATACAAGAACTGACCGAAATCGAAATCCATGAGACTGCCTGGAGCCTTCCGTAACGATACGCGCATGTGATGCACACCGTCAATTCGCACTGAAACCTGCTTTGTACCTTTAAAGGAATCCTCCAGAGTTGTGTTGTAGTTCCACACTTTCAGTGCTCGGAGGCTCATTTTATCAGCAAAATCTATCGTGATTGCTCGCCGCTCGGGAGGGAGTGCGAGTATTTCCTGAAGTGGAGCACTCCACATTTCTTGAGAATCAACTGATAGATGTCGCGCACCGCTTGTCGTTATCAACTTCTGCATTCTATCCACAGCAATTGGAGCAGAGATTTTGACATTATCCAAAGAAATTGACAATGGAACGTAGTTGGAATCTAAAATCTCAAGACCTGCAAGCCCGATTTCGTACGGGTCACCCCAGTTCGCCTCCAGTATCAGTTCGATTGTTTTACAGCACAATGGCCGCTCTGTCATCGGCCCGCCAACCACAGGAGCTGTACACGGACGTGCAGTCTGGACTGGTTTTGCTGGATTTTCAGAGTACATGCCAACTTTTGGCAGCGGGGTGACTGGTGCGAAGACAGAATTCATTGCTCCGGTTTCAGATGAACAAACGATGTGGCTACTTCCTCTTGCTGCCGCACGAGACACCTTGCTGCCCGTCTTCGGTCTCTCAAGAAGACGTGGATCTGGACCGATTGGAAGTCCACAAAAAGGTGTTAGTCCTGTTGCAATTGCTGACACCTCGGACGATTCATTGTCGATCAGTATTTCGTTTCTTTTCTCGTATTTTTCGATTAATTGCAGGATCGACTGGTTCATGGTGAATAAAATACATTCATTGCAATCGTCGATGTCTTCAATGACACTACCCGGTGCGCGGCGGATTTCTCCCTTGAAGATAGACTTTCCGTCTAACGATATCTCCACATATCGTGCACCGCGATACGAGTGGATTCGAGTGGTGTTGTAATTCCAGACGCGCAACATCGAGATGGATAACGGATAGTCAAAATCCATGTAAATAAAGTGATTTTGTCCACGTGAGAACGGAGCAAGCCACGCATGCAGCTCGTCACAAGTGAAATAGTGTTTGTCTACGAGTTTGTCCACAGTGCGAGGGTCTAAACGATCGTGATCTTGGATATTCAGATCCGGAGGGTCTGCTGACAATTGTTTATCAACATCAGAGAGATAGACAGCGTGGCCCGTGTGATCAAATACCTCGATACCCATGAGCCCAACGTAGAATGGGTCGCCCCATGTCGAGAGGATGTTGATAACCAGATTCTGTCCACGTGGCAATTCTGGGATCTGGAACACTTCTGATGGTTCCGGTGAAGAATTTGACTCAACAGCTTTCGCAAGATACTTTGACGCTCGATTTTCAACACCATCGCGTGAAGAATGACGCTCGCTGTCGTGAAGTATGAGCTCCTCGTTCTCTGCAAGCGTTTTCTCATCCTCTCTTTCATCCACTTTGTCGTCTATATTGACAAAATGAACATTATCTAAAAAATCAACGTAACGTGTTAACCTCTTCCCAAATACTTTCAACTGGATCCATGAGTTGCAGTTCTACTAACCTTCAGGGTCTGCGTATGGGCGCATGACTGAGATTTTTGTGGATAATTCCCGACTGCGATTTGTTTTGTCGAAGAATTCAAGAGATCGCAACGACTCCACCAGCGATTGTTTGACTCGCCTGCAATAAACTTCTTGTGAGCTGAATGCTAGTAGCAATACTACACTTTAATCCTCACCTGCTTTTGGACTCGACTACCTGCTGCCGAACCCGATGTCTTGATCGCTTGGGAGACCCCGATTCTTTTGGCAAGAATTCTTTGTCTGCAGAGCTAATTGCGTCTTTGTGAACACCAATTGGTGCGCGAGGTCGAACAGCTGAAGGACTGGGCGCTAAGGGACCAGGTTTGTTCTTGTCTTTGTGTGGGGAATTTCCGTGCATATTAGTGTTGCCACCGCCTATAGCGATTCCAGTAACCCCTGTATGATCAACCAATTCGACGCTAGAAGTTCTTGGACCGAGTGCTGTGACCTTGGGGGCGTGATTAGTGTCGCTGCTGAGCCATGACGGCACCGATTGCGGCCTCATGGAGAGTTCTAACTTGGATAACGCATCTAGCACGGGTGGATTACTGTCCATCTTGCTCCACTCCTCTGTTCTTCACAATACTTGGTATACCCAAGGTGACGCTTGAACAACCGTTATCTTTAGTGCCCCCTTAAAATTTTGATACTCTGAAAAAATATTTTTTCACGAGGGTTTGTTGTATTATTACCAGGAAGGGTCAGGTTATTTGATTAGAAATCAGACCTAACCTGGTAAAAATGTTGCTTAACTAAGTAATGGATCATAACGAGTAGCATATATATGTCAAGAAAATATTCAAAAACGACTTCTTACATTACCAAATTATCTACTTTTTACATGTTCGCCGGGATATACGTATTCGCGGAAGGCGTGGTCAATAAGGAATGTCGTCCCGCTTATCATTAAGTCCCCAACTCTGACCAGATTTTGCTAAATCGGACCTACTTGCCCTAATCTCTGTCCGTTTTATTTAAATCGAGATACTATAACTAGTACCGATATTTTTTTTGAAAAAGTCGTTTTGTCCAATCAAAAGGCCACCCATTTACACCAAACGTTTGTTATTTCCTCTCACAAATAACCAACTGTTCTTGCCATGGTGAAGCCGCTCAACAAGGAATGGCAGCTCTTCGGGCACAAGTACCGCGTCGCTGGCGCAAAGGGAGCGAAAGTGGACTGCAAGGCCTGCCACAAGCAGGTTTCTGCGGCTGTCAACCGCCTACAATCGCACATGCGCATATGCCCGGCACGCTCCTCGCTGGCGACGACTCTCCTCAACTCTACCAGCAACAACAAAGGTGGAAGTTCCAGTACAGGGATACCCGAGGCAATCCCCACGACCTCAGAGCTAATTGAGCAGGCTCTAGAGGTCAGTTCTCTAGCAGCAGAGCAGGCAGCGGAAAGCAACGCTAATGCAGCTGAAAGCAACGGCCCTCCAGCGAAAAAGCATCGTCTGACTACTGCAAAAACGCGCGATCACCCTCGTTGGAACGATCCGGCTTCCAGCTCCATGAACGCCGATGATGTATGGCTCAATTCAGTTGCTACAGGGCCCACAACAGCGATAACCCCGGCATCTGAAGCGTCTTTAAACAAGAAACGACTGGAGATCGAGGAGAAGCGACTGCAGCTCGAGATCACGCGGGACCAACGTGAAGAGCGTCGAGAGCGGCTGAACTTGGAGATTTTAGAGACGCAAGTCAAAAGGGAGAAGCTGCTGGCGGAGAAAGAAGAATACGAGGCTAAGGTACTGCTGGCACTCTCGAGGAAGCAACTGCGAGATCAGGGCGTAAGTGAAGAGGAGATCGACCGGATCCTGCCAGTATCCAGCCCCCAAGCAAATAACAGTAACACCACTGAAGCAACCTGTGAGAATGATGCCACTGCAGACCAAGCCGAGTGAAGATGCCACAGATTCCAATTAAGAACAACAATATCCCTTATTTTGATTATACGGGATTGGTTAAACTCCCTAACTTAAAATTACAGACTTCATGCACGCTAATCGTACTGTATTCACCACAAACCTGAGCAACTCTGACTAGAGTCCATCGCTAGGCAATAATTGTCACTAAAGACGAACCGCGCTGTGTTCTGCGACGAAGTGTAGAACTCCGATCCATTCGACAGAGTGTACGACAACGATCCGAGACGCAGCATCACATCCTGAGCACTTGGTCGTTTCTCCGGTCGCTGGTGCCAGCACGCACACATAACTTCAATGAACTCAGGCGGGGCACGCCGTGAGTAAGCGGGTGGTAATGCTGGACGTTCTCCTGCTGCCACGAGCTGCCGCACTTGATGGTCGAAGTCTACGTTGCCAAAGGGAATGGCTCCGTTGGTCAGAATCTCCCATAAAGCCACTCCGAAGCTGTACATGTCTGTTTCGCGGTTAAATCGACACTCGTTGGGGTTCTTCATGATCTCCGGTGCATTCCAGCGCCAGGTACCAGCAAAAGTCGTCATGAGCTCCGATGCAGCGCCATCCATCATGATGACGCTCTCATCGATCGACTGCAACGACTGGAGAGACCTCCTCGAGAACTTTTGAGAAGCGTGCTGCTTCTTCACCGTAAAATCCGTCGCGATCCGAGCGATCCCGAAGTCTGCGATCTTGGCCGTCCAGTCAGCAGTCACCAGGATGTTGGACGCCTTGAGGTCACGGTGCAAGTAGATTGGCTCTCGATTGTGCATGAACGCCAGGCCTTTAGCCGCTTCGAACGCTAATCGAACTCTGGTATTCCACTCCATCAAAGGATTCGCACGAAGCACGTCTCGCAAGGATCCGCGTGCGCAGTATTCGCTAAAAAAAAATAGCAAATAGTGAACAACGGTCAGTACCAGACAACAATCTAAAGCCTACGCAATACGTACTTGACGAGACACAAGCTCCCCTTGTATGTTCCCATCTTGATAAACAGCGTGATGTTTGGATGACGCAGTTGAGCTGCCAGCACCGCTTCATCCAGAAATTCGGTGCGTAGCTCCGCCAGATGCGTCATGTACAGCTCGGCTTCTGAGCTACTGCCAGCGTGGAACCGCAGACACTTAAGTGCGACTGTAATGCCAAGCCATTGAGCCTTGTACACCTCGGCACTGGAGCCTTCACCGATCTTCTCAGCTGGTCCTTCCGTCACCATTTCAGCAATAGGACCGCCAGCCACTAGTCCATCTCTCACACCTAAAACTCCAGGCGTAGCAAGTCCTGTATACCCCGTACTTTTAGGAGTTCCGCTCCCGTCTGCCATCACACCAGCGGAGATATCGATGGACGACGACGGAGTGTCATCGAATTGCACCTTGTCTTCATGTGTGGCTAGAGTCTCCGTTGCCGTCGCACAGCAGCAACAGCAGCTCAGACTTGTGCCGAATAGCAGGGCGTTTGCCAATGGAACGAAGTAGTTCAGTGTCTCCGCAACAGCTCCGACGGCTACAGGGCTCTGAGACACGATGAGTACCAGAGCGTAGGGCAGTGTGAACACCGCTGCACAGACACAGTAGCCTGTAAGGCGTCGAATGACGTTCCGTCCCTGTGTGGACGAGTTCAGCCTCGACTTCCTCACGGCTCGGAGATTGGTCATAATTAGTAGCAATGGTGTGGCCTGCATGATGAAAACCAGCACCGCTGTGACAGTATAGGCCCCGGAATTCGACGTGTCTTCTCCACTCATCGTTGGGAGGAGAGCGTGCATGCAGCCGTAAACCAGCGAGGCCAGTGATGATAGGAATAAACTCCTCTTGGCATGCAGCGCCTCGAAATTGCCGAGTCGCATGAGTAGCGACAGATTAGCGATCCAATAGAACGACATGAAGAAGCTGAAGCGCGCCAAGAGCGTCAAGATGAAGTCTCCTGTCGTATACTGCGCATCCGCTTGGCCTTCATCTTCCCGTCGGTAGCGCGACAAGTAGGACGTGTGCAGTGCCTGCTTGATCGCCTCCAGCGCCACGAAACCCACGTCCGCCAGTGCAATACCGCTCAGTAACAGGTCCGCCATGCGTCGCTTGAGCCGGTGAAATGTAGCGGAATGCAGCAACAGGAAGAGCGCGGCCGCGGCGCCCGTACCCAGACAGACCCAGTGTACGGCATGCCACACCTCGAGCCACTTGGACGGCTCCGCCATTAGGATTTGCTTGTGTAGACAGTCTGATGCTTGGTGGCCAGCGTTACAGTGTCCAGCGACTGGAAGTCGAAATGTTACGTTAACGTTAGCGATAGAGAGACAGCTCTGAAGTGAAGAAGTCGATCTTTGGAGGTGGAACAAACTTGGATAAAGGATGAGCGTAACATAGTGGAATCAAGTGGTTGAAGGGCCACTTTACTTAGCGTCTGATTTTCGTTTTTTTTTTTTTGGCTACAGTTGTGTTGCAAATTTTCTGCACGGTTGAAGTGGCAAATTCCATTGTTGCATTTGCCACCAAGGCAAATGATGGCTTCCGGGACCTCCACGCCATGATCTGCATCGCAAGACTGCGGACGGAGCGCCTCGTGAACGTTCGCAGCCCCCGACGGATTCCTTGCTGCGAACAAGTTGTTGCATGGGCGACGCTCGATGGACGTCGCTCTGGATTTAGGGAGCTGCTACGTAGATGATGTGGTTATGGACTCATGCCTTCCCTACGCGGCAATGTTTTGCATGGAAACGCAGCAAACCCATGATGTACTGAGTGCTAATGTGAAGGACGTGCTTGATTTTAAGCCTCTTGGATTGTACCCGTTGATCAAGTGCTGCTGGCTTCGCTGCGCTTTGACCTGCATTGATGTTAAAGAATACAACCCGTTGCCATCGGAGTACTATATCGTGGTGTGTCGTACAGCTGCGACCAGGCAATAACAAGCAACAACAAAACACTTAGCGGGTCTAGCCATCACTGGCAAACCAATCCAAGTATGTTACACTAGTCCCCAGCCTCGATCGAGGAGCAGAGGTCTTATCATCAACTTCGCAATTCAAAACATGAAAGATGATATTCAATATAAAGTGCCGTGGCTGATGCGCTGGTGGTTTACTGAACATGTACGCATGTGCATGGGCGTTTATCGCCTCCTCTCAAACTTGTCGAGCTTGCAGACTTGTAAGAACTACGCCACTGACAGAATTTCTCCGAAGAGTTCCCATGGAATCAAATCAGTGGAAGCGATGTACTCACTGTAGAATCGCTTGGAAACCGTGAAAGAATCACCGACTGTCGTAGTTGGATACGATTCGTGGCTGAGCTGCCACTTCAATTCGAAGGCTATACGCTTTTCTTTCAGTGTCTTCTCGTCCATTTCACGCTTGTCAGTGTAGGCATTGCAGACTTCAGACAGCCACATAGTCCAGCGAGGGATGTAGTATCCTTTGACGAGACCAGCCCACTCCTTCCCGGCATAGTCGTGAATAGCCTCATTATTGTTGTCTCCCCAACGCGTGACTTGGTTACGCGCTTCATACTCATAGTACTCTTGCAATTTGGTCCGCGTCACTTTATCTTCACCTTCACTTAAATCTCCAGCAAGGGCCAGCGCGTCACCAATCCAGTTGCCAAGCAGAAAGTCTTCACTTGTTGCGAGAATTTCCTCCAGACGTTCCATAGTGGTAAGCATGGTCTTTGTCAACCCACACACTTCTTTCGATGACGCCTTCTTTGCATTGTACACAGCCTTCAGATGTATATACTGCTCCAGCAACTTGTTGCTCAGAAACTGCTTCGTGACGTCCACTAAATCGTGTCGGTACGTGTCCACATCACACAATTCCTTTCCAGCCAACAGCAACTCTTTCCATGCCAGCACGACATCATTCGGGTCGTACTTGATAAGCGTAGGCTGGAATCTGTCGTACAAAAGCCTCCAGCGAGGAATTAAACACACCAAACTCTTGGTTACACCGCCATAGGCCATGGTACGGTTGTACACCGACCGCAAAAGGTAGTTCCACGCTTTCTCGACGTGCTCATTGTGCGTATGATATCGTTGTGCCGCGTACCTGGACACCCAATTATTCACATCTAGAGGAGTATCCACCCAAGCCATTTGCAACGTGAGGTCATACACAATGTAATTCTGGAAGATGCCTTCCATCGTCAGCCCCACACCAACCATAGTACCATTTCCTGCCCAACTCGCCTGTACAGGTGCCGTAGCCAGAGTTGGCAGGTCCCCACGCATCCCAGTATTCCCGCCGAAGTTGTGCAACACACAGTAAATCCAATTCTTGCCGAAATAGTTGTCCATCTTGTTCCAAATAGGCACAGACTCACTGTAAAAGTCCAGGATAATCAACTTATCAGTTGGCACACCATCAAGATACGCCTTCACTCGAGGCTTCGTCCAGAAGTGTGGGTCATCCACAAACGGCCAGCCCTGCATAAGCCAAACAGCATTAGGATCTGCAGCGGTCATACCGTCGATTACAACTCGAGCAGCTCCCTTCAGCTCCTCCAAATCTGTGAATTCCGGCGTCATCTCCATGTATGTATCACATTGATACAGCGACGACGTGTAATTGTACAGAGCGCGCTGCTCCTTGAGGAAGTTTTTGCCGATTTCTCGATACAACGAGTCGGTCGGTTCGATCATGTAGACGCAGCAGTGCTCTTCAGAAAAGTTCCCCCAGTTTGGCGACTGGGTGAAATTTGCATTGGGCAATCGAAGCTTCAGTTCTTCAGGAACGTGGCCAGCAAATGCTGGTAAAGCTGGGATCATACCGAACTCTCGCATACGCTGTAGAATTCGTAGCTGGAGTTCATGTTGATTGTCAATGAATGCTTGAGGCAGAGGCCCTTTCACCCAACTCCCACGCAAGTTCCCCATTCGTCCCCAGGACAAAAAGGCCGAGCCAGCGAAAAATTTCCCCAGACCTTCATAGCTCACATTGTAATATTTGTGAAAAGTGTTTTGCCACACTTTCTCCTGACCGGTGAATGCCAGCGGCATGTTAATACCTGCATAGCAATACAAACTGTTAGTGTATTTATATGGTGGAGATATGGATACTTGTAACTACGCACCGTTAAGTGCCATCCAGTCGATGTGCTTCTCCCACTGCGGCCAAGTCCACGCCCATAGCGAGTAGCTACCGGTATCCACGTTCTGGTAGTACGAGAACTTGGAGCTGCGTTTGTGGCGAACTCGTTCCTCCACTTTCGGTAGCTTATCAGGCAACTGCAGCTTGTGGTTATCCCAGTCGGTCTGAGTACGCAACACCGACTTGAAGTACCATTGCAGACCATACGCCATGGCAGTGGCCGAGTTGGCAGCGATCTCGAGCTTGTCGCCATCGCTTCCGAGCTCGAACACGTCCAGATCATCAGCATCCGACGGCAACACTCGAAGAGAGATCTGGTCGTTGTATTTGCCCCCAAGGCGTCGGTGGATAAGCCCACGAGTGGCCGCCACAGGGTCGTGGGGTTCCGCATCCTTCTTCAACCGAGCAACAGATGCAACCACCTCTTTAAAGCCCAACAGCATCAACAGGCAAACGCCCAGAAGGCAGAACGCATTGCTCCTAGTCATGGTTCTCCAAGATCTCAAGTGAATCCTCCCTTTCAAGCCCCCCGCTAAAATCAGTGTGTGGTGTCGGTTCAAGATCTCATCAAGGGGAAGATCTGGCCTTTCATTTCTGGAAAGATTGCATGATTTACTGCAGTCGTAGCAACAACCAGCTCGCCAATTGCCATTACGTTGATAATGTGCATCGAGGCCATATACGTACTACACTACGGTTCCAGCACGAACAGTCTGAACGACCGTGTGGACGTCATCGTCGACCCTGAGATCGGCACATGCTCTAGCAGCGTCAGACCGGCCTTCTTAAACGTATTGAGTAGATCTTCCTCGTACGTGACCGTGCCGAAGTCGATGGTCGTGAGGAACTTGAGTAGCGGCTTGCCGATCTCCACGAGCATCGAGTGGCTCGTCTGGATGGTCTGCGTCACGTAGACCTTTCCAGTTCCAGGCTTTAACATGGCCACGCAGTGCTGCAGCGCCTTCACTGCGTCGGGCATGAGCATAAGCGACGAGCTGAAGTAGACGGCGTCATAGGGGCCTCCTCGGTAGTCGTAGATGGAAGCGTGGTGCACCTGGACGTGGCTCGTCAGCTGCGACTCCTTCAGCAGTGCCCGACAGCGCACCACGTAGTCTTCGTCGTAGTCCACTCCGTCCACTGTAATGTTCTTGGCCTTGAGTTGATCTCCGTTGTTGATCAACGCGAGACCTGTGCCGATACCAACGTCCAGGAACTTGCTGCCCTTCGGGAGCCGCCCCAGCACCTCCGCATACCAGCCGGTCGTCAGCTTGACGATCATAGCGTCGTAGATACGAGCGCGAGTCACGCGCACAAGACCGTAGAGAGCCACGGCCCCTGCAGCCGTCACGGCCAGGGATACCAGAGAAGAAGAGCTGTTCGCCATTCTGCTCGACTAAAGTTTAGCTCACAAGGTGCTAAAGTTTAGCAGTGACCCGTCGGTGTCGTCTCTTCAGACTATTTTACACCAATCGGCGTCCAGAATATTGCGAATCTGGCCCAATACATTGCGTTTTAACTTTAGCATGCGTCAACGATGTTGAACCGGTTGAACCTGACGTGACAGTTCACTCTGCAATTTTCAGCATCGACTACGCAGCGACCATCACTCTTATGGCTCAGATCACGCCCGGTACCTTCGGCCCGCAGGGTTTCCGCGAGTGCTGGGGCGATTACCGCGCCGAGGCGGACTTGGAGGACCCGTCACGCCCGCTCTACCGCTTCCAGCGCGATCTTCCACGTCTGCCCGTGCCGTCGTTGGCTGACACCGTCTCGCTTTACCTAGAGACATTAAAGCCACTGGCCTCGCCTGCTGAGTTCGCACGCTCCAAAGAGCTGGCCACCGCCTTCTTGCGGCCTGGCGGCATGGGCGAGGAACTGCAGCGCCGTCTGGTGGCTCGCGCCAAGGACCGCAGCGACTCGAGCTACTTGGTAGAGTGGTGGAACACACTGGGCTACCTGCAAGTGCGCGACCCGGTGGTGTTCAACGTCAGCTACTTCTTCCACTTCGCAGACAGTGTGCACCCAACCCAGCGCTCCAATATTGGACGTGCAGCGGCTCTGCTGCGAGGCTCCGTGCTCTTCGCTCGTCAAGTGGCGGACGGCTCGCTCGAGCCAGAACAACTGGGAAAGAAGAAGACACCCGTCTGCTCTACGGCCTACAAGTACATGTTCAACGCTTGCCGCATCCCACGACGTGAGCAGGACTCGTACAGGATCTACGACCCCAAGGCGCATACCCACGCGGTTGTTATGCGTCACAACAAGTTCTTCCGATTAGAGCTGCTGGACCAACGTACTCAGGAACCACTGGGCTTTGAGGCGCTCTGTTTCCAATTGGCCAGGATCTTGGAGTCTGCGGGAGCGAAGGAATCTGCTGTGGGAGCTTTGACGTCCCAGGATCGCGACTCGTGGGCTGACGCTCGCGAAGAGCTGATCCGAGCGTCCCCGAAGAATGAGGAGTCCCTACGTGCTATTGAGAGCTCATTGCTGATGCTCAATATGGACGATGAAGCTCCAGTGTCTCGTACTGAGGTGGCACGTGGACTCTGGCATGGCAATGGACGCAACCGCTTCTTCGACAAGTGTGTGCAGCTCGTGGTGTTCGAGAACGGCAAGGCTGGACTACTGGGTGAACACTCGATGCTCGATGGCATGCCTATGGCTCGCTACACAGACTACCTGGTGTCACGTCTGCACAATGGCCAGATCGACCTGGGTCCTCGTGGCCAGACGACGCAGCAGCTAGAGCGCTCGCTTGTCGCCCCCAAGCAGCTCACCTTCCGCTTCACGACGCAGACACTACGCAACATCGCAGAGGCTGAGAAGGTGTTCGACCAGACTGTGGTCGATCACGAAGTGTTTGTCCAGGCCTTCTACGGCTACGGTGCACGCTCCATCAAGGGATTCCGCTGCAGTCCGGACGCGTTCGTGCAGTTAGCTATCCAGCTGGCCTACAAGAAGCTGTTCAAGAAGAATGCTGCGACGTACGAAGCCTCGCAGACACGCCTGTTCCTGCATGGACGTACCGAGACAACTCGCAGTTGTTCTGTGGCTAGTGCGAAGTTCACAGACGCAATGGAGGACACATCTGGCTCCGTCACCACTGAAGAGAAGAAGAAGCTGCTGCTTGCTGCTGCCAACGCGCACGTTGCGTACATGCGCAAGGCTGGCGCTGGTCGCGGCGTGGACCGCCACATTCTTGGTCTTAAACTGTTGGTGCAGCCCGGCGAACGTGTGCCGTTCTTCGAGGATCCGGTGATGGCCAGAGCGAGTCGCTGGCTCATTTCCACTAGCCATCTCACCAATGAGTTGTTCGATGGTTGGGGCTGGGGTGAAGTTGTGCCCGAAGGTCTGGGTATCGCCTACAGTGTCAAGGATCAGTCCATCCAGTTCAACATCGCCTGCCGCCAACACGGTAGTTGGGGTGCTCGTATGGGTCACCTGCTTGAAGAAAGCCTCGTCGAGATGCAACAACTTTTCGCTGAGTCCAAGGAAATTGGCGCCAAGCTGTAGGAATGCAGTGAAAAGACCCACGATGGCGATATATATTTTTTAAACATTTCAATAAAAATGCTTTTTCACTTCTTTTTTTTAGCCACACTGTTATTAATCAACGGCGCAAAAAGTAAGAAATACTACAGTAACAGAGAGCGTTTATTAACGGTACTCGCTGAGCTCCTCGTGGAAGTGGTCAAGTGCCACCAGCATGAGAGCATACGGCAGGTTCTGCTTCATGACCGTCGAGCGGATGAAGGGTAGACCCGCAGCCACCGTAGAGATACCAGCAGTGGTCAGGTCGTCCTCGCGCTGCGTTGCCAGAGCCGTCTTGATTCCGCAGTAAAGGAAGAAGAAACTACAAAGACAAAGCACTATTAGCAACACCACTGCAGCCTCAAAGAGCATCACCGACTTGTCCTCACCCTGAGAAGGCTCCTCCCGTCTTGGCAGCTCCACGTGCGACGGAGCTCAAAGCAGCGGGCGCAAGTTTCCCATGCTGCTTCATGTACAGCTTGGCTCCATCGACTACAAACCACCATGTCATTAGCAGTTAGTATACAACTTAAATAGCAACGGGTATACGTCGATTGCTGCCACGTACTGCCTCCGAAAGTGGCGCCTGTGACGAAGCCCACTAAACTGCCGAAGATGAGCCGATTGCGCATGTTGCGCAGCGCTGTAGGCTCCGTCAGCGCGCTCAGCCCTTTATCGTACTTATCCACATTGGTCTCCGTCTTCTCAGTCTGCTGAGTCACGGCGGTCGGACGCTTAGGCGCCTCGGGCTCATCGAACGACGACCAATTCTGTGAGTCACCCATTTGTGGCCCAAACTAATTGTGAACTCTTCAGCTTATCAGAGGACGTCCATAATTGCATATTTTTGCCATGTAAGTCACAAATTGGACTAAATCGCAGTTTGGCGGACAAAATTCGAAGAGGTCATGATGCCCTTGGTGTCTCCTCCGCGCACGGCGTCTGCGCCGTCATACCGGGCCCCGGACTCCTACTCGTCCTCGCATAACTTATACCAAGCCATACCGGACTTCACCGCGTTGCATGCAGACCCACAACGTCGTCAACACTTCGAAGAAGAGCTCGCTCCACTACCTCCGTATCGTCCCGGACGCCGCGTGACGGTTCTGCGCCAACCTCGCGGCTGCAACTTGGTGCAGCCCTGCATTTTGGTCGGCCAGATCACACGCATGGTACTCTTTAACGGATGCAGCGCCGTGCTTAGCGTAGTTGCAGCCTTGATAGTGTGGGTAATGGCAGCTCTGTCCGTCGTGATGATGCCCCTCTGTGGCTGCGGCGTCTCGGTCTTCAATGGGTTGTTACACACAGTCTTCTACTTGTGCTGCACAGACGCCTTCATCTACAATGCCTTGGCTGCATCGGCAGCTGATTGCATTGACATGGACCTGGCAGAGTGGGGAATTGATGCTAGTGGTGAACTGCACCCTTTGCTGCCAATTCGAGTGCCCCCACCAACTGCAGGAGCCAGAGAACAAATGTTCGAGCCTTGTCCAAGATTTGAGAGAAGTCTGGGGTCTGCGTCACCCAGATCGGTGCTTGCGACGGCGTATTTTGGCTGTTTTAAGTTGATAATTGGAGCAGGACAGGTGATCTCAGTGGCGCTGGTGCTGGGAGTTCTCGGGTTCTTGATTGGAGATAAGCGCGTCCCCATTCACTTGGAGACATTCACAGCGCAACATCCGTTTGCAGTGTACACGACGGCGTTCGGGTTCCTGTTGATAGCGTTGGCATTGCTGCATGGGATGACAAGGGTGTCCAAGGTTGTCACGCGGTTCTTCTGCTGCGAAGCCGTTAGAGTTTAAACACACACAGTTGGGACGAGGGCGAGCACGAACGCCTTGATGGACCTAACGTGCAGACAATTGAAAGAGAGGAGAGGACTCAAGTGCTGGGGCCAAGCAATGCCATCGACGGCCAGACAAACACGGAGGGAAGTAAAGACCGTTGCGTGCTGCAACGGCAGCAATTATCGGCCACTTCGTCGCGTGTTCGAGTTGTCCTGCTGCAAGTACCAGATTTGCTTCCGTTGTCTGTCCAAGACGTGCTCGAAGGCGCTCAAGAACTCGATTCTGGCGACGTGTTGGAAGTGCAACAAGGAGATCGCACCGAACCAAGTGGAGCTGGTTCTAAGCCGCTCCGAGTTCGCGTTGTACATGGCTTGGCACCGCAAAGAAATGTGTCCAAGCGCAAACTGCGTCAGTTGCGCTGTGAAGGAGACCAAGAACGAGCTGCGAGTCGCGCCCTGTGGCCACAACTACTGCCAGCCGTGCCTGCTGCGAATGTGTCGTTTAGCATTGGGCGACCGAGCGCTTGTACCGCTTCGTTGCTGCAAGAAGGAGCTGCCTGATGACTATGTGCGTGAAGCTCTCGACAAGGACGACGACTTTGCCAAGTATCAACAGCTCGTGAGGGAGAAAGACTGGAAGGTGTCCGATCTCCAGTCTGACGCCGAATACTCGGCCACAGTGAAGGCCATGGGAGCCAAGCAGTGCCCCGGTTGTGGTATCGGCGTGCAGCGAGACTTTGGATGCGTGCACATGGCGTGCCCCAATGGACATCAGTTCTGCTACACATGCCTGCAACCCACTAATCCCTGAAGCCGAGCTGCGAGAGATTCTCGGGGAATGATGTGCTCTAGTCAGTTGCAGTGAGTTGCTTGCATGACGAACTAAATGCACGCTTTCTTTTGATTGAGTTGCATTTGGTTTTGATGCATCCTGACCTCATTTTGAATTGATGAGCTTTGTTCATCTTCATCCCGTTGAAGGAGAAAACAAAGGCCTCGTCCCAAAGTTTTCGCAGACTCGGCTTTGAATTCAGTTGAGATTTTTTCAAGCTTGGACGAAGAATCGGAAGCTCGTGATGGCGGCACGAAGAGAAGTGCGCTCTACGCGATGCTCTGGCTGCTCCGGCGAGTTCTTTTGGCCAGCTTCGGCAACGCAATCTAGCAGTCTGTTCCCGTTGTTGTGTGGGGAAATCTTTTGTCGTGAGTGTCTGGCTCAGAAAGCTCGAGTAGTGTTGTCGAGCAGAGTTGTGCCACTGCGGTGCTGCGGGCTGGTGGTTCCCCATGACTTCATTCGCGAAGTCCTGGAGCATGAAGAAGACGTCTACTACTCGTTCCTGATGGAGCTTCCTACTAGTGACGCTAGAGTGAAGAAAGGAGGAGCAACGCACAAGAATATGAAGACGACTACTGTATCTCCGCTCTCTGCTAGAGCGCGAAGTCAAGTTATTGATGATGAGGCTCTGCCACGTCAGCGTGAAATTACACAACCAGTTACTGGGAGCTCAAAATCTACGCCAGTTCTCGCTCCTGCTCAGCCACCGGGGCCTCGCTATCGTACACGCAGTTCCATGGCTCGTTTTGCTATTGAACAAGACTCAAAGCGAAGCGCAGTTGCTACAACTGCCTTACCCAGTGCAACGAGACAGCCGCCCGCGTCTCCTGATCCCAAGTTTTGTGCTATGTGTGGGAGTCATGTACACTACTCGCGGTTTAAAGCTCCATGCGGCGACGAATTCTGCCACATGTGTATCGTGACCGAAGTTACCCGATTTCTCGACGCGAAGTCCGACGATGTTGCTCCAGCAAGTTGTTGTGGCAAAGCACTGCCGCTGGATCTAGTGCGACGCGTGATTACTGGACCATTGCTGAAGACGTATGCAAAGCGTATGTCAGACTATGTCAGTGCGACAACCAGTACTCCAAGCATACGAGGAACCAAGCGTAAGGCTGCGCCGGAAAAGAAAATAACTGTGGCTACACGAGGATCGAAAGGCAAGGCCCCTGCCAAGAGAGTGAAGACATCTGGCAACGAAAAGCAAGAAAATGAGCGGGTGTGCGTTGCGTGCTACTCCAGCGTTCGTACACCCAGCCAATGGCGAGTTATGCCGTGTGGCCACGGCTACTGTGCGCAGTGTCTTGCAAAGATGGCAAAGGCGAGTCTTACGGACCGCAACCAAGTCCCGATCAGTTGCTGCTCCAAGGAGATTCCGATGGATTACGTTGAAAGAGCACTGGGCAAGAACCAATTTTTGCAGTACAAGCGTTATCTAGCTGAACGCGATCCAAAAACGTCAACGCTGCAATCGGATCGGGACTACGCGACGCTAGTGCAAAAAAACCATGGGAAACAATGCCCTCAATGTGGGATTGGTGTTTTGAAAATTGCTGGATGCAATCATATCACTTGCCCTCTTGGCCACTACTTTTGTTGGGAGTGCCTCGAGACAAAATGCGTCTGCTGGAAGGCCACTAGCTGAATGCTGGCCATCTACTGTAGTCACGAGATCGGCAGTTTTGCTTCGTTATTGTTTTTCGTAGTAACTATTCCTTTTCATTAGTATCCATGTATTTTTTTTCCCATGATAGTTCAATTGAAAAATGCGTTGTTATTCGTCATGTGTATCTAGTAGATACTATCTACTTCACGAGTGCCTTGCCTCTGGGAAGAGCCATACGCTAACGGTAGGAGAAGAATCATCTTTCGTGGAGATGTCCAAAGCTTTCAAGGTGGATACTACTCACTTTTCATTTTTTGGTGTTCGTGACAAGACCATGGAAGTACTTCCGAAGTTGGACGAGCTGAAAGAGCTTACTTCTACTGATCACTTTGAACACGCGGTCTACCTCGACTCCGATACCATTGACTTTGTCGATGAAGTCGACGGTGAAGCTGTTGAAGCCCAACTTGCTGAGGTCTATGCGTTGGAGGTGTACCGCGAAGAAATTCGTCGTGCAGAGCAAGTCATTCTGGACGAGGCGGTCGCTCGAAGTTTCTACGCCAAGGAGGAGCACAAGCTGTTGAACGCTACCGACTATGATCTGGACGCGGACAGCGATGACGATAGCTCGTTGATTCTGGTGGAAATCTCTGATGCAGAATCCAAGCCACCTCCAAACTGCATCAGTTGTGTGGAACCTCTCGAAGACAAAGCCACTCGTCGCGTTCTAAGTTGTGGTCATCTCTACTGCACGAATTGTATCGCCACACGTTGTCGTATGGGTGTTCTGGATCGCTCCATGGTACCTGCACACTGTTGTAAGAGGGAGTTCCCTACCGACTACGTGAAAGAGGCTCTGAATGCTGTCGACTTCGCCACCTATGAGCAATTTCTGAAAGACAGGGACTGGCGTTCGCTGGACTTGCAGTCGGATCGCGACTACACCAATGTCGTGCGGCAGAACCACGCAGTGCAGTGTCCTGGATGTGGCGTGGGAGTGCAGAAAGTAATGGGATGCAACCACATGACGTGTTTGAATGGCCACCAATTCTGCTTCTTGTGCACCAGCAAGTGGAAAACTTGCGCTTGTCAGACTTGAGCTCACAATGGAAATGGCACAGCAAAATCTGGTCGAGAAACACGTAGCGTATCCAAGTGAATTCATTTTTTGTTTTTGTTTGTTGCAGTTTTTACACTAGAAGCCAAAAGTGCATAGCTACACGTAGTTACAACTTTGAGCCGCCTCAATAGAGTAGCAGTTCGTGCTCGTCCTTATTGCTGAAGTCACCGATGGCGGTTGCAAGTACTGGGGGATCAGCTTGTTCCACCTTGGCACCGAACTTTTCGTGAGAGATGAGGATGGAGAACTTCTCGACGTTGGAAATGAGATCTCCATTAGTACCCACGTAGTCAAACTTGCCCAGTAGATCGGTGTAGCCATCTTTGTAAAACTCAGTCTTGGTTCGCCCATCCCCCGTAGACACCTTGGCGTACACCTTCACGTAGCACGAACGCACTGGTAGACCACCACGTAGAACTTGCAGTACGCCACATTGCGTCATGATATCGACCTTCAAGCTTGAGTTGAAATACGGAACGATGACGTTGGTAGGTGGAGCCACGCTTTTCACCGTGCGAGAAGCCGGAATCTCGCGAACTCTGACCATCATCTGCACTCCATTCAACTGATCTGGGATCTGCACAACCGTCTTCGCCATACCAGCGTCCGTAGCGGTAGCATTGAGATCCACAGAAAGGTGTTGTCGAGGCTCGACTAATAGAATGCTTGAAGCTGACGCTGCAGAGTCGGAAAACGTGTTAAACGGCTCCGTCGAGAACATCAGCTCCACGTCAATCGGGTAGAATGCGAGCTCGCACTGTCCAAGACACTGCGATAGCAACACCACAGCACCTTCACTCACACTTGCTTCGAGCTTGATCTGGCTACCACGGGTGCTCGCGGCATCGTCACGATTCAACTGGTCTCCTTCCATGGTAGCATCAATCATTTCCATATCCTGCTGTTGGCGCAGACTCTGTTCCTCAAAAGCGTCGTACTCTTCCAGAAACTCTTGAATTCTCATGAATCGTTGGCGCCATCGAGGCTGCGGGTGCGTGATATAGCTTGCAACCACTCGCCGAGCAACCGGAAACGTCGGTTCTTGCTGATCGTTGCTGCGGAAAAAATCGAGGAAGGCTATCAAGTAGGAATATTGCACTGTTGCCTTCAGCTCGACAGCCTCGACATCAGAACAGCTTTCCAGTCGACTGAAAACCATGATGGCATCCTCAATACGATCGAACAGAATCATATAGTACGCCATCACAAGCAGATGCTGGCCAGTCATTCGAGTATGCGTCCCCAGCCTCTGGCAAAGATCTCCAAAGTACTGACGCGCTTCGGAATTCAAGATGCGTTTGCCCGCTGTTTTAGCTGCCTCACCGAACGTAAGCTGAGCATTCACTCGGCCTGTCACAGGATGCACACGCCTCGTTAAGAAGGGACCAAATTCACAGTGGTCGAAGCGTTCCAGATCGGATACAAATCGATCCGTGTGGTACAACCGTCTCTCATCTACAAACGACGAGCAAAACCCACTTCCCACGGACTGCGTTACTTCATTCGATCCAGCGAAATACTCGCGTATTGCTAGCCCATCGCTGTGAAGTAGCCCATATTTCCAGATGCCAGACACGAAAGCCATTCTGCGTCTTAGATAATCCAAAATCCCACGGTAAAAGGTTTGGTCATGGCACCGCCAGTACAGCTTTTGGTAGTCAATCGTCACACCAGGTTTTGTTGATTCCATGAACTGCGTGACTTCTTCCAGCGAACCTCGGGCACTTACGTCACTCCAGGAAGCCAAATTGACGCGGGAGGCACTGTGAACTACCTTACAGGTTGCTGCATCGTCTTGCATTTTCGCCCATGCGATGACCAGACCCTCAAGTGAAGCTCGTGCTGGATACTGAGCAAAAGTTCCGACTTCAGGGAAGTAGAAGGAGAACTTAAACTCGCTGGTGTGATTCGGAGCCACACTTCCGATCTCGTTTTTGGTGTAGAACCCACTTGATCCCATGGGAATAGCACCTTGAGGTATCTGGAGCAGTAAATCGACATTCGTGAGGTGCTCCGAGCCGATGTTACTCAAAGTGACGACCGTGGTGTATATCTTGTTGACAAGCAGCTCGGTGTTGAAGTCTCCATTCTCATCTTGAATACGTTGCTTCAAAATCAAGACACTGTTGGCTGTCGGAGTGCACTCAGCAGGTCTGATACTGCGATGATAAAGAACAGCATCGCTTGCGGAACGAAGGGTTACGTGGGTGCCTGCAGAAGAAGAAAGCTGCACTTGAGTAGGCTTGGATTCGTTGCCGAGGTCCAACACCGCCAATGCGAACAGCCCCTCTGTAATAGAGACCAATGCTTCAGGGAAGTAGGACGACACGAAGCGTCCACCAGTTTCTCCACGCAATAGATACTCAGCGTACTCCTTCCAAAACTTGTTACGACCCGATAGAGCAGGATGCTGGCCAGTGAAAAAGCGCTTTTCTTGTACCTTGCGAACCTTGCCTGGAGAAATATAAGGCGT